GATCGTGAGTGCAAAAGCGTTTTGAATGGGAAATTGATATCTAGATGCTGGATTTCCGTTGATGTCAAAATAGATCGTCTCTTTTTGCACATTTAGTTTGACGATATCTGTTGTGGTTGGAAAAGTGACTTCAACGGTATGGTCATTTACTATGCTCGTGATTACACCAATTGTACCGTTGCAAATGTTGTAATCAAATAGCTTATTGTTTAGGAACATGACTCTTGCGCCTTCTTTCACGATTATTTCATCGGGTAAGTTTGTATAGCAGTTAAAGTTTAGATGTTTATCGTTATTTGTGTTAAGTGGATTATGATTGAGGGAGTCAATTGCTTTTGAGATTATTGAGTCTATTCCATATTCGTTGATTGGGAGGTTATTGCAAATTAATTTATTAATTTCTTTAGCAGTTTCATGTATGCCTACGAGATAAGTAGAGGAGATAGCATTGTAATCGAGATCAGAGGAGTTGATTTTATCTTTGATCATTTTTTTTGATGTTTCGGATAGACGATTATATCGTAATTCTTGAAGTAGATTATAGAAGCTAGGATTGTCTCTTTGCCTCTTAGGTTGGGTTAGGAATAGTGGAAAGAATCTTTTCCAAGCGGGAGAGTGAAACACGTATTCGGCATTTATTGGTGGTAATTGGAAGAGATCACTGACTAGAAGTACAGGGATTCCTCCGAATAATTTTGAATTATTGTGAATTGAGCCGAATAGGTTACTTATAAATGAGAATAAATCATTAGAAACCATTGATATTTCTTCTATTATTATGGCTTCGATTTTTTTTAGATCCGCTTTTGTATTATGGTCATGGACTGCTAAGGTTTCGTAGTGTGAATGGGTTTGTCTTATTTTTAGTGCAGAATGAATCGTTTTTCCACCAACGTTTTGTGCAGCTACACCAGTTGGGGCGATTACAATATGATTGATTTTCTTTGATTTTAAGAGATTGATGATTATATGTAGTAGGTATGATTTACCAGTGCCGGCTGATCCAGTTAGGAAAAAATAAGGATATTTGCCTTGATGTTCTGGCCCCCAAGAGTTACAAAGAAGGTCATAAGTCAGGTATTGATCCTCGTCTAACATTAGTGTAAAATGTGGATTGATGGTAGGTGTCTTTCGTTCTAGTGAAATTAGTTGGTTGAGGATTATTTCATGGAGTTCCATGTTATTTAGGTTGGTTAGTATATTTTTTACGATTTCCTTATACGCGGTTGAGGTTTGGATTTGTTGAGATACAGTTGTATTGGTTAATCTATTTATTTCTCGTTCATATTGGTCAGGATATAGGGACTTGAATCTTTCGAAATAGCTTGGATGGTTTTCAAGAAGCTCTTCTTCTGAGTAGCATAGAATTTTCATTATAAGATGCTGAAAGAAGAATGGCTCACCTAAAGGACGGATTGTTAATAAAAATTTTGTGTTATATTTATTTATATTTTTATATAATCTGATTATTATTATTATTATGATCTTAGTTATATGTTTGTAGTCGCAGCTGTCATGATATAATTATTATAGTTACTATAAAGGAAATATATAATCTTTTACATGATGTTGTGAATTGAAATTCATGTCGATTTTATATTTACTATCTTCTACTTTGTAGTTTACGAATCTTAAAAGAAGAGGTTTTTTCTTTTGATTACGAAACGATTGCTTTGGTCTCTTGTGCAGGATCATTTCGCGGATTGTGATGGTGGTGTAATTTTTAGGTTATAGTCTTGGAAGTATTTAGGGTAAGTCATGTTCTTAAACTCATCTGTTTTTGGGCGGCTAAAGTATTTATCTATTGCATCATCCCAGTAGGTTTTTCTTCATCGTTTTCAAGCGCTCTTAGTTGTAGATGTATAGGTTTTACCGCTCTGGTGCATAGATTTGATGGTGCGGAAGGTAAGTATTGAACTGAGACTGTGGATCTTGTTATTTGATACTGAAGAAGTAAGATCATTAATTCCATTGCTCCTAGTCTTCTTGCTTGTATGTAAGTTCTATAGTTGTCATGATCATCAATGTTGAAGGTTTCAGAAGGCTCGGGTTTTGTTACATATTTCGTTACATATTTTGCGAATCCTGTCGTAGTAACGTATTGAAAATTGATATGGCCTTGCCATATTAATAATGTCTCGGGATGGTAAGGTACTACCCATCAGTCTTCTTCTTTTGTTCTTTTATATATGTATCTGAGTGAGCGATTGTCTCTATGCGTTGTATTTGATAGGGGTTGAGGAAATCCTTTTCTGCATGCTACTCCGCCGAAGATGGGGCCACCGCACTTATCTGAATGGCATCTATATTGATGTTATGAACATGATAGAAAATTATTAAATAAATAGTAAGTTATTTATTTTTCTTTTATTATTTTTATTTTTGTATTATTCTGATATATATATTTTTTAATTTTCTTATTCTTATCTATATATTTTATTTATTTATTTATTTAGATTTCATTTTATTTACTTTACTTATTTAGATTAAATGATGAAATTATACATGTACATGAAGTTGAGTTGGAAGATTAAGAAAAAAATAAAATAAGCTAACCTGTGAATCTGATATTTTGCAACTAAATGATATAGCTCCGGTTCCTAATATTGGTCTGGTAAGTCAGCTCTTATTGTATTTTTTTTAATTAGTTCAGAGATCTTAATACTCGTATAAGTAAAGCCGTGGGTATGTATAGTGCCTCTATTTTGGAATTCGTCACGCTCGAAATAATTTTCAAGTTTACCCCATTGTGTTAATTTTACATTTTTCCATAATTTATTACGTATATTAGCAAGCTTATGGTAATAGAATAAGTAAACATGTAGTGAACGGTTCGTTAGTAATGGATCTTTGTTGTCAGTTGATAAGAGAATCTCTTTAAGATGACTCCATTTATCTTCTGCCATAGTCATTGTGTAGAAGATTTGTGGCAATCCGTAAGTTCGGAGCATCGTATTCACTTGGAGTTCTTTTTTTTTAAAATAAGGGGCTGCGGTTCTTAAGCTCGATCATATGGTAGTCATTTTTGACTCGTCGATTATCGGCCGACCAGTATACACACTTTTTGCTGTAAATATAATAGAAATTTTGAGCAAAGATGATTTATGTTTATATTTACGATTCATTTGATTTTTTTGTTAAATTAGAAGTATAGAATGAAAAAAGAGTAATACATGCAAAAAAAGAGCATACTCGTAAGTGTATATGTACATGCATATATATATATATAAATATTTATATATACGAAACAAAATTATGCAATTTTTTGCGAAAATAATGGTTAGGTAATATAAGTATACCTATAAGGTCGGCTCTTGTTGGGTGATGTTCTCGTGATACGTTTTTTTGATTTAATAGTCTACAATTGTACTGAAAATTACGTTTTTTCTCTAGATTCAAGTATGACCAGTGCGGCCAGTACCAGTGTAATCTGAACCTTGGATCCGGACAGAGCATTCTGAGTTTGATATACTTTCCGTAGCTTTCTGTGCTCGATTGAAGATCTAGTTGACTGTATATGTTTTCGTAATGATCTTTTTAAGTGGGAAATAGGTCTAGGAAGATCATTGCTTCGAGGTTAGGGTCACCATAAGGTACTGGTAATGTTAAGTCGTCTAAATTCATAAATCCGGCCATGAGTCTTTTATATCTTAGGTCTTCGTTGTGTATTTCAGGAGGAAACTCATTATTTGGGATTACGATGTCAGGAATTGTTGAGACATTTCTTAATGAAGTGGTGTTGGTGTTTTCCTGTGATCGCCTTGCTAAAGGTAGAGGAATTGGTGTTGGATTTGATGGAGATGGAGAAGGTACAATCGTGTACTAATGAAACATTGGGTTATTTCTTTTTAACCATCCACTAGCGACGGGAAGAGTCTCATGATACCAGCATGCCGGCTCATTTTGGTCTAAAAAAGCACCGATCATGCCGGAATATAATTCAAGTGAGTGGATGTTCTTGCTCAAGAAAAAATTCCCATGTAGAAATCGATATGTGATATAGGGATTTGAACCTGGAGTGTGACCCAACGAACATGTCATGTGGATTGGTGAGAGATATTTTCTGTGTTTCATTGGTACTAGGCTTATTTCATGAGGAACAATTGACAGAACAGGAGGAAATCTTCTGGTTTTTGAGTTTTTACAGCTTCTACAGATGGCTACTTTACTAGGTTTGTTAGTAAAATGACGAAGGTAAAGAGGTATATTAGGAAATGCTATAGGTAAAGTGTAATCTTCATTCAAATCATATGTTATCTACTGGGTTGCGGAATGGTACATCAAAATTGAACAGTAACAGCAAGGAATATGAGGGTGATCATGCAAAATTTTTGTTTCGAATTCATGAAGGAGTTTTTTTAACTTAGAGGATGGTCTCCAGAATGGAAAAGGTAAGGGTGAATCGGTTGATTGGTCATGTCGTGTTGTTGGCACAGGATTGGTTATACTGAATTGATTTATTTCGTTGCGATTAATATAAGGCTGGAAGATGTTAATATTACTTGTGGTTGAGGGTTCTTCATTTAAATTTAATGGAATATCGCTCTCGTATTCGTGAATAGAGAAGCGCTGAATAGAATAATTTAAGTTTCTACTCATGTTTAAGATTCGTAGGTCGAGTTAGACAAATTTAAAACTTGTAGATTAAGATGGCTAATATACGTATTTTTTTTTTTATTATTTAATTTAGATTTTTTTCTGGTCTAGTTTATTACGAGAGGAAATTTGAATGCTAATCCGATGAATTAACTTTCAAGTCACAGCTTTTATATGCGATTTCGGGTAAAGGTTAACGTCTCATTTATTTACGTTTACTTTATCAATTTCAATTTAATAATAAGTTAATGTAATTATTATAGTCAATCAATAGATTTTATTTTATTGTTTAGGTAAAGAAGAAAAAACAAAGAACGAAATATTTATTTAGGGGTGTGCATTTTCGAGCATTCAAAAATAGATAATCAGGTATATTATTAAATTTAGGGATTATTTAATTATTATTAGGGAGTGTTTACATCTTCCGAATTATCTGGTTGTTCTTCATCTGAATATAGGCCGTCAGTATCAGTTTCAACTCTGGTATTCAGATGTTCAGTAGAGTTTTTGTCTAATCGAGTTAAATCTACAGCATTGGGTTGAACTTCCGCACTCTCATCTCCTAGATTTTGAAATTATTAGTAAAGTTAATATTATCATTGTTATTATTATTAATTTTATTATAGTCGTTCTCTCACACAATTACGTAGTTGGTATGTAGTAAATCGAATTAATTAAAAACGTGGTTATAAAGGAGTTGTGCACACATGGAGTTTCCTTTTTATAAATTAAAAGATAGTCTTGTTTAAACGCGACTATTTGTTGAAGGAAAGACTATTTTATTTTTTTTTGATTTTATTTATTTTTGATTTATTTTTGATTTATTTTTTATTTATTTATTTTTTATCTATTTTTGTTTATTTTTTATTTATTTTTTACTTATATTTTTATTTATTTATTTTATTTTATTTTCTTTTAATTTAATTAATTTTTCATTTATTTTTGATTTTTATTTTGTAGCTTACCTTTATTTTCGTTAATTTGACCTACAGCAAGTTTCAGTCTTTTCGCCCTCGAAGAGCTTTCTTCTTGTAGGTCTTCAGTTATCTTGTCTGGTACGTTTCGAGGTTGTTTTTTATTAGGGGGTGGACTAAATTTTTCTGCTAATTGTTCTAACTGTTCGTTTCTTGATTTTCTATCTTTTATTGATTTACTATCAGCGGTTTTAGAGTTTCCTTGATTTGGATAAGTTCATTCAATTACATTACATATTACGCATATAGATCTTTTCAACAGAACCAATTCACCAGCTACCGAGATTATAGATTGACATTTTGTGGCATCGGCCACATTAGCATGACGACCTTTGGGATTATATTTACACAAAACGGACATTGTAACTTGGGATGCAGTTACGCCATCATAAGATTCTCTTTTTAAACGGAAAGCTGCATTATCACCTTCCGGAGTGCTAGGGTCTTGAACCGATGCTGTGAAAATACCAAAGGGTGGAGATATAGGGAGATCATACATTGATGGGTAATCTTCTAATGTTTGAAGTTTAAGAGGGGTATTCTGTTCGATCGTAACCTTAGATGATAAAAAAAAATAAAGAAAACGAATAAGTATTAAAGAAAATAAAGAGAATTAGTGTATAATTTGGGTGTATCTTTTTTAGCAATGCTTATTTTAATTATTCGGTAATAGTATATGTATTTTATTAATTAATTAATTTTTTTTACATTTAGTTCACTAGTAACAAAAGTAAAACGGCCGATTATCAACGATATGCTGCCTTTTGTGATTTCTTCCACTAACGTCATTTCGCTGAATCTAAAAGCTTTAAATACGTATTTGACGAAATCATTGGATCCAGTTCTATACACAGCACTTCCGCTACAGATTTACTTGATCCTGAAACGTTTTTAATATAAGATATAGCGCAAAAAATGGAAGTCATAGTTTTTTTTTTCTTTTTATTATTATTATTTAATTATTATTATTATTTTTTTTTTTAATTCGTTTTTTTTCAATTCTTTTTGGAATTAACTGAAATACTGAAAAATAAGCATATTTATAACGTTTTTTTGAAAAAAAAGCGATAAAAGATGATTCGTTCGACTAAAAAAAAAGAGGTAAAAATAGATTCAGAATTTGTTTTTAGGGTAATAATAATCATTAATAATAAGCTTATTTTATTTTTTTTCCTGTATAGGTTACGTGTCGAATCATAGATTTAAAACGAACAGACCGGCAGGGATAAATACATAATAATATAAACAATTTTAGATGCTTAAGAAGCGATATTTTATTCAAATATCAAGAGATTTTTTAGCCAGACGATTATACAAAATGCGCAGGCAGTATTTGAAATTTTTATTAATAAACGTATTTTAACAAAGCGCATATTGATTATTATTTATTATTTTATCTGTAATAACGATTCTTTTTTTCCTCTGATATAGGTATTATTTGCAATCGTAAAATCTAAAGATCGAAGGTTTTTTTTTTTTGCATATAAAAGGATCATAAATTTCTAATAATAGGAATTATTTAGCATTAGCGAGCAATTTTTGTTTGTTAGATGGTTGGGGTTTTTTTTAGTAATTAAGTAGTTTAGAGAAATCGCCATAGGTACTCTTCGTTGAGATTATATCAAAAAAAAAACAATATTTATAGAAAAGCAATACATACAATGCAATTATAAGCAGGGTCTAATATTTAGTTAAAGAAGCTTATACGGAGTTTTCTTTAGAAACGTAACGCGCAATATGTATATTTTAATACAAATAAAATGCAGCAATAATAAACAAACAATGTATCTTAATTATGCCGCGAAATTTTTTGAATTATTCCTTTTGCCAGATAGGGTTAGGTTTGCTATAACAGTCATAATTAAAAATATAAGTAACTGGATTATATGTAAACAATAGATCGGTTGTGCATTTTTAGAGAGGAATTGTCAAAAATTAGTAAAGTTTATTATTCGCCCAAAACAAAAGACATCCTGCATTCAGAAGATCCAAGCATATACTCTAATTTAGTAAACATGCAACATAAATACTTTTTTTTTATATATACAACAGCTGCCCGACAAGCGAAAAAATTTTGGAGCGTAATAATAAGCGCTAATAATTAGCTTGCGCAGCTATATCGACGAGCTTCTCTTGCGCAAAGTATATAAATAGAGATAGATATATAGAGATAGAGTACCTTCATACAATCGGTTGAATTTTGTAACACCCAAAATTACCGAAAAAGGTTCAAAAGTCGATTATCAATTTCCATAAACGTACGCCAAACCAACCAAATTCTAGTCAAGCGTAACACCAAACACAAACGATTACCTCTAAGCGCTAACAAAATATAACCAGCTTGTTTATTGATACTAATGTAGAAGTATATTGTTTTTTATTAATTGTGAGCGAGCTGTACGATTTCGTGATGATACTAAACTAACGTAAAAAACCTAAATTATCCTTATATTCAGCTTAAAAGGAATAAGTTATGCATTGGATAATCAATTCAGATTCGTGTAACTTATACGCAATCGAATTTAACGTTGTTGTAATTAGAAGTTTATACGTACTCATTATCGAATAACAAAAGTCCCAGCAATCGAGGGCGCAGTCACATAAGATTCCGACTTTACAATTCTCCGGAAATTTGAATTCAAAATTTTTTTTCAAACTTTATTTTTCGTGCTTTTATCAATTCTTTTATTTATTTATTTTTTTTTGAATATTAAGCTTTTTAGAAGGTTAAACTTTCTTAATTTGTTTACTACTATTAGACTAGAGTAAATGCAGAAATAGTTAAACATATTCTAAAGATAAATAATCGCGAACAGATTTAAGATGAACAATAAAACATTAAATAAATTGAATTAAATTGCATAAATGACATTAAATTATCGAATATACAAATTTTACACTTTCCAAACTCAATAATATAAAATTATAAATTTAAAACTTCACAGTTCGTTATCTCGTTATAGTAAGTTTCTGCTGTAATTGGATTTATAAACGAATCAGCATTCAAGAACCAAATTAACAAAAATAAATAATTCTAACATATAATCACGAGTTAAATAACGGAAAGAACCATATGTCAAATACAGCTCATCCTTGCTATGGTGAACTCTTGATACGGGTCATTAAATACTTTAAAAGTTCATTATAGAGTGATTCATTATAAAAACGTTCATTATAAAGAGATAAACTGTTTCGTATGGGCCAAAAAGTCCAGTCGGAACATTGTGATTATTAAAATGATTATAAAATTTATATAAAAACTGATAAGACCCATAAAGTAAACTATATAAAAAACTGATAAGTAACTGATAAGCAAATCATAAGAAATATCACTTTTAATCTCAATAGTCACGCCAAATCTTTCATATGATTGGTTTAAAAATTTTTTATTCATAATAAAAACTGCGGCAATTGGAAATTTTAGCCCATACGTACATTAAGAAAAAGCCTAGCATCACCAATAATCGAGGGTGCAGTCACATGATCCGCCGGATTCTCCGGAGTATTATTGTCGGAGATGCTTTGTGTGTACTGTACGTACGTACGTACGTACATATACATAATGATAATTGATTACTAATTAATTGATTACTAATTAATCGTTATACTGTTTTCTTATTTTGCGATAAAGACTTGTAATGGAAAGCGCAAAAGTTCAGACCTCTATGAGTAAAACGAAAGAATGTACAAGGTGCAATTGCACCAAACCATATTCCGATTTTATTTCAAAAAAAAATGAAATCCGTGCTCGTTGCAAATCCTGCTGTGATAATACATCACAATCGAGAAAACGAAAAAGACAAGAAATGAATGACCAAATAATTGAAAAAGAAAATACATTCGATCTTGCAAATATTACAGACTATATTTACGATATACTCTTGGAGCATACAAATCTGAATGAAGACTTTGAAGGTCAAATAAAATTTCAACTCAAATTTAATATTAATTTAGATTCCATTTA